AAAATCTGTAATGTGTCCTGTGCACTCTTATGACCTTATGCGATTGCGAGTGCTGTAAATCACTTACCAAAGAAAAAAAAGAAAAAACATATCCAAACGCGACCTACAAAATCAAACATGATTGATTTTGGAAGATTTGATCAAATTCTGCCAAAATTGTCGCTTCTGTCCATCCACGAAGGAAGAATTTGGCCTCAGTTAACAAACCATATCAAACGGAGACTTGACAAACTTTTCCGCAGAGTCCACTGGGTATAAACAAGAAACATTTGGCAAAGTTCCACAGGCATTGATAGCAGAGTTGGTGGAAATTATACTTATTATTAATATAGCAGTGAGTCAAGGTTGACTTAACATACTTGTCCTCTGCGCCACAGTCGGTGCCATTTCATACCCTTAAAACAAATGGCATTACTGTGACTAAAATGGGTAGTGCAAAAGTATGGGATCATAGTGAAACCATGCGCTTGTCTCACTAATGAACTCGAAGAAACCGCCTTTTTCCTGTATGTTTTGAAAGTTTTGTCGAATTTCTTTTCTTTTCTTTTTTATATAGATTATTATCATTATTTTCTTTGTTCAACACTCCCTATGTCAATTTAGAATGCATTTATGAGTGGATATTACGAATAGACTTTGAGCAAGATTAATGTAATTTTTTTCAGTTTCCAAGAGCAATCAAGCTCTGGAAGTTACTTAACTTTGGCAGCAATTTTCGCGCTAATTTTATCTCTCACTTCCGGCGACCCCCACCACCTTCATTCACAAATGCCTTGACTTCTATTCAAGATAGATGGGTATTTTTTTTCATCCGAAACAAGCTTTAAGAGGAGACTGATATACACCGTATGCACAAAATTGACGAGTGCCTGATTCCACCATGTCGTGACCCAAGTGATCCCGGCTTTGTCGGAGAACTAATCATTTGCAAATTAAAGGTCAGGTGGAGATCGCCCTTCTAATAGTATGCTTAATTCGTGCATAACGACACGGTTACCCCTATGTTGGCTCAACAAATAGTTGAGACCCTGGATGTGCACAATAGGACAAATATGTTCCAGATGGAGACCTCAGCAAAATCTTTAGCAGTTTGCAATGTTCACATGACGAGTGAGAATTTTACAGGTCAGCAATACATGTATATGTGTATTAATAATACTTTTAGGACAGGTGACCTCTGCTTAGTTCATGTCTTCTGGGGAAAACATCTGATTACCGCTTCGACCTTTTACTCATAATACTCCGAGTACATGCATGTGTATTACATGTTTGAATGTATGTTGTACATAATCTGTGTGTTTTATGAGTGAGTGAGAGAGAGAGAGAGAGAGAGAGAGAGAG